TTCAAGTGAAATAATTTTCATAGACTATTTGGGAAGAGAGAAAACAATAATATCAAACTACTATTGCATATTATTGGATCGATTGAATAAGGAAATCAAAATCGACTACATCTGTCAAAGAAAATTTTTTTTTTTTGCAGGATAACGTACCTATTTATATGTTAATGAAAATCATGACAAAATTAAACGAATTACGGTACGAATTGCTTCCTCACTCGACGCATTCTTCAGATTTGGCTTCCAGTGACTGTTATCTATTTCCAAACTTGAAAAGATGGTTCCACGATAAGAGATTTGCATCAAATGATAAAGTATATTTTGAGGGCCTTGAGAAATCGTATTATTTTAAAGGTATCCAAATGTTGAAAGATCGTTGGACTTGATGTGACGAGCTAAAAGGAGATTATATTGAAGCATAAAATATAATTTTTCAAAAAAATGTGGCTTTATTACTTAGGCCGGCTATTTATGTATTCCCCAGTACTACCCTTGTAGTAGGTACTTTTTTCAATCTTATAACATTCAAGAGCTCATTATTAATCTGTCAATAAGCTTTTACAAAATATTTATAAATGTATCTAAAACAGTGAAATATGGTATAAAGCAAACTTTTATAACACTAAATTTGATAACAAAAAAAATTGTTGCTTTGGAATAAGAAGACACCAAAAGGCGATGAACCGCTCCACTATTTGAAACTCTATATGAACTAGTGGTATAATTGGGTATTATATATCCAGAGATACGTAAATTGGAATGTATCTGTCAATGGCGTTTAAAATAGACTAAACAATAATGATTTTTTTTCAAACATTTAGCGCGTCATTCGTGAGACACATCCTCAAATATATAAAAAAACCTTCAAATAAGGTATCTTACACATTTTAGAAGAACTCCCAATGATTACTGGATTCGTTACATTTCTTTATAAAGCATAATATTGTAAAAACAATTTGATTGTACCATGCAACTTATTTTCTGAATGTTTTCTTTAAAATATTTGTATACTATTAGTGCCAAATTTATAGTCCCATCTTTACTACTACGTTAAAGCATGAACTTCTGGCAATGTATTTTGTATTTAACAATGTTTCAAATTAAAGTTAAATATATAAACAATTAACAATATGGTATTTTATTAATTTTTTTATTCATATATATAAACAGTATCTAATGACACTATAATAAAGCACAAAAATGCTATATAAAAGCAATTAGTTTTAATATTTTAATATATAAAGGTATGCAACCATAATATTAAAGATGAAATATTTTAACATTAATATAATTCTTTAATTTTTATGTACGTTTGCATATTGATTGTTAGAGATGATTTTGAGGTCCGGATATGCGATAGATCAGCACTTTTTTGAAAACGATGGAATGTTTTTTACAGTTTTTTTCATAAATCTTCTTCTTGTTTATTATAGGATTAAATCCTGTTTTGTTACAACAATTGGATTGGATATATTTATGTAAAATTATGACATATCAAATTATTATGTTTTAGTAGGGCCAGACGCCCAGCATTTACGTCATCTCTTTGGCGGTCGACCGGATACTCTTGCGATTGTTGGTTTTCTACCATTGCAATTTTGGCCAGGCGATGATTTTTTATTCATTGAATAGAAAATCCAATTCTTTGAATCCATTTAATTATGTTTGGTAGCGTCATCATTGCAGTTTAGAATTACATTTGTTGTTTAAGACCTTATTTACAGGTAAACAAGCTTAAATAGACCATTAAGTAGCTCATATTACAGGTGTAACAATGATGAATATTTCTAGAGCGCGATTTATGAATATCACAGTTTCACTTGTCTACTATAATACATTTTATGTGACCTTAGTGGCTTGAAAATTCATAAACTTCATTAAGATTAAACAAATTTTTAAGTCTACAACAGATAAGAAATAGTTCAAACTGCATCATTTGGTGCTAACAAAATAATGCGAGTCTATAAGTTTTAGCCTGATCTAGCTTCATAGCAACATAAAAATAATTTTGACAACTAAAGTCAAATATCATATTAGACAACACTATACATAAAGAGTACACCTCGAAAATTGTCTACACAACTAAATTATACAACCAAATTAATTAAAAGTTTTTATTTATTTTATTATTATTTTTTTTTTGTTGACTACTCTTTAGTATAGGTTGTCTGGCTAAGTATAAGATTTGAATTTAAAAGAAGAAGACAATTGAAAGAAGAAAGGTAGATATTTATTGATTCCATAGAAAATTTATGGTATTAATAACTTAGAAACAAAATATCGTCGCTTAAATATACCAATTTCTTTTTGGAATATTTAAGGATGTATATTAGAATGGTGCACACTATGTTTACTTCCAAAACTTGAAGTATTGTACACTTACCGGCATAAGCCAATGACTTTAAAATCTTTCGCAAAAATTGCTCTACTGTCGGTCAATCGCACTATCTAGGAGGTGCTGACACAATACAATATTTTTCAAATATTGGAAAAATAAATCGTGGTTTATGATTGTTTCTTCATTTCTAATAAGAACGACGTAATCATGCGACTAGTTTATTAATAACATCATACTTTAGTATACAACGGTAGCTACAAAATCGTCTTTCTTTAACCTTTACTTCAAATATGACTTTTTTTATTATATATGTTCGGACTTAAAGTTCGTACATATTACTTACTAAATAGATAATGTTGATAAAAAAATTAATTATCAATTGTTTGAGTGGTGTTGTATTAAAAAAAGTAATACTAATAATAAAATACCTACTATAAAATACATTGTATTAGTCTCAGCATAAGAGTACAGATTCATATTATCTGAGATTGAAATTGATTAACATATACTCAAATATTAAAAATTAAAAAACTAGTTACTGGTTGTCTGTCAATCTGCTTATTTTATGTATTCCCTATGGTACAGTTTCTCAGATATAACAACTATTTTCAGTACTGCAATTATTTTCAGCTCGTTGCTTTGCGGATGAGGAGAAAACTGTGCTTCACCCCATATATCAGGATTCATCTTTAGCTAGGAGAAGATCTACCATCTTTAAGGCCTCTTTTCTCACCGACCTAACTATACTATTAACCTGCAAAATCAGGGACTTAACAAAGTTTATAAAATTGTCATCTTTACTTAATGGGGGAGTCGTGTCTTTTTGTGTTGCTCGTATGCTAACCTCTAGTTTGTGTATATAATAAAGCTAAAAATGTGGTACTACCATTATTGGAGTTCAAGTTGAATTTGGGCAAAATGCAACCATTCCAACCCAACATAAGCTAGCCCCAAATTACTAGTACCAACAGTTGGATATATTGGTTAGGACAAGCATATAATAAAGACAAAAATATTTGGTTCGATTCTGAAAATAAACCTTTATTTAAATCCCAATTAGAGTAAAGCTGTAAAATACTGGCAAAACCTATATACCATGAAAATGTGCTATTAGGAAAAGAAAACCCACAGGACTCTCGTCAATGCGAAATTTCATCAATTTATGTAAATTTTTCTTTGTAACCCCTCAACCCCCATACATATCTGCTCCTAGACAAATACTCATAATTGTGTTATATGTATATTATGATATGGTGTCAGCTTAATGCCCGTACTATATAATAATTTTATAATAAAATTGTTCATTTATAATCTTATTTCTCTGTTTTCTGTAGAAAGAGTTGCTTTTCTCGGTAACTGTTTTTTTAGATGTCCCAAGATTAAATAAATCGCCAGCAAGTGCGTAACGTTTGGTACAGCTTATCCATTTGTCGGCAGGACTTCTACTCTCGTTTTAATATGATTGTTATTGTGTAAATATCGAAGCGAGTTTGAAAGTAACTATACTCATCTTACCTGGTGAGTTCCAACAAAAGCTATTATATATAATCCTTGAGAAAATATGAGAACTTTACGAAAAGTATACCCGATAGATGTGAATCGTAGAGTAACATTAGCATGACTTTCTCAGTATTACGTTCCTAGATTAGGTTCTACACATAAGAAAGAATACATAAAACATGCAACAAATAATGCCTCTATAAACAGAATAGTATTGATATTAAACAATTAAAAATAAAAAATATAATTAATTAATTAAAATATTTTACAGCTGGTTTATGATTTCGTTCTAATATAAACACAGCAAGTAAATTTGTTAATAAAACTTTCATAGCAAAGTAACAAACCTCCAGAAAAATGTGCGAACATAAGAGTCAAGGACGGCTTTGGGTTAGTTGGTAAAGGAGCGCTGACTCTAAACTTCAAATTTGGCAGAGTACGAGCTTGATTCCTTGTACTTACAGTCTCAAAAAATTATTTACAAATAATTAAATATAAGAATTATTTCCAAGACCACTGATGATGGGTATTTGGCAATACTCGAAACAGCTGTATGGTCAGCAAAAAATTCAAGTAATTAATGTAATATAAAACGAATCGCAAAAATTATAGAATCTTCACATATTTCTATGAAAATGCAACTATAGTGTATTCAAAAAGTTAGGTGATACCAGTTTTAATATGTACCGCATCTGAAGAGCTGCTTTTTCGTGTTATTTTTCAATCTCCTTATAACCAAAGCGACCCCAAATCTGCACTGCATAATAGATAATTGCTCTAGAGTAAGCTTGGGCTTACTATATGCTTTTTGTGAACTGCAGCAGTGTAGATAAATGTGGCGTAAATTATTTAGTTATTGAAAATATATATATATATATAATTAATACTTTCATTTAATATAATATAATATTTTATATAAATATAAAATAACTAAAATTAAATACATACCACAAATTCATTATTTATATATTTGCCAAACCACTCTTCAAATCCGTACCAGCATTTTTTTATTTAAAAACATAACAAAAGTAAATAAATAATATATATTTAAAAGAAGAAAAATTTCACATTTATTTTTATGTTTATTTTTATTTTTGTTTTAATAATGCAACTAAAATTTGATTCGTCTTACTATCGGCTAAACGTTTTAAAATTTCAAAACAGTCGCTGCTAAGCCGCCGTCAAGAGCAGTTCTAATAAAATTTGCTTGAATGGTTTCAGATTGAAGAACAAATAAAGTCAAAATTTTATTGAAAGGCGCGAGTGACCATTATTTTGTTTTTTGTTTTTTTGTCAATTTACAGATAAAATATATTTTTATAAAATAAAATAAATTAAGTTTAGTAAAAAAAAACATCAACAAAGTTTTCCTTTCTCGATTTGTGAAACGAACTCCAACAAACAATTTTTTAAACACATGTGAGTCCATAAAAAATTATTTATATAAATTTTATATACTTCTAGATAATACGCACTATTGATGTTAGCACTGATAATAATCTATGTGCGCTATATGACCGCACATCGATCCACATACTTAACACTTCTACGAGTACAAATTTTGATTAACTTGCAATGTACGAGCATGTTTTATTGGTAGCCAAGGCAGATATCGCGTGGTAAAAAAACCAATTACAAGAAAAAATGGTATTAGAGAGTTGCATGTGGCAAGTCGATACCTCTGTGCTGCTCTGTGCTGCTTTGTGCTTGGAGAGATAGACAGCGCATACTAGATAGATAGATTTGACTTTAGATTGTTAAATGTGTTAACCTATGTCAACATTTATTGCCTAAGTACTTAAGATTGAACAGTTTAAGTGATATGAAAAATTCAGGTTATCATAGTGCTGCACTCGATTGGAAACTTTAAAATTATAGTAGTATAAAGAAATTGTATCTCAGCGTGCGTGTTCCTAAGATAGAAATTTTGTTAGAGACAGTTTGGAAACAAGTTGAATTGCATTATCAGTGCGCCACTATCAGTTGTATTCGTATTTCGAAATCGGTTTTTTTATTTTAGATTTAATTAGAAGGAAAAAATGTTTATACATTTAATGACGTCTTTTTTTAAGTCTAAGATTACTATCACGCCATCCTATATGAGTATAGGAGAGTAATTAAATTTTACAAATTAAAAAAAAATTGTTTGCAAAAAAGCAATTATCAAAATTTATTTCGAAGTAACCCTGAACTCAGCAAGTGCAAATTTATTTTAAATTAAAATAATATAATTTTTCCATAAAAGAACAAAATCTTATTTCCAGGCTTAAACGTATTATCAATTAATTTTTTTTTGGTTTAATTTGGTTTTAATATAAAATTTAATCTACAATTAATTTTAATTTATCTCATTTGAAGTGTAGCAACAAGAATGATTTAGTATGTGCTATGAACGGTCATTGTGCTTACATTTTTTTTTTTTTGGGAGACAAAGACTAAAGGAGGATTGTCAATTAATTCAGTTAGACACACCTACGCCATGCTTGTTCCTACTCTCAAAGGTCCCACTTAGTATGACGTCTCTCTATATTGCCTAATGATAAGCTTGTAAGAAACACTGTGTCATTCATAGGTAAAAGTACATGCTTTATTATTTAATAATAATAAAAATTTTATAGATTAATTGAATTATATAGCTAATTAAACAAAATTATTTTTGATTTAATTAGATAATTAAAAAAATTAAGTAATTGATATAGTAAAAATAGGTGTTTTACTATGTTAACATTTTTTGTCTGGATACTTATGCCTGTTCAATTTCAAAGATATAGAAAATTCAGTCTAATCAATGTTTATATTTGATAATTCCAGAATATTATAATACAGTTATTATATAGTTATTATATTACTAAAATTAAAGATTGAAAATATGTTCTCTGATCTCTCTTTTTTTACGTCTATTCAGTTTTGATTTAAAAATATTACTAGAATATTACTAAAATATAATAAGAATTAAATATATATATAATTTTGTCTTGTCGAAAGTGACACGAACCCTTCTTAAAAATTAGAAGGGTTCGAATAGAAATGAAAAGACAACAACAAAAAGGCTTAGAACTCGTGCCGGTCAAATTAGAAGCGATGACTAATCGTGTTTGTTCAAAAGTAGCCCAAACTTTCAATGCTTAAGTCAAGTTTTGTCAATTATTTTTTTTTAAATATATATATTTAACGTGCATGTATATATAAATATTAATTATTATATATTAAAATTATTATTATAATATATTAGAATTTTTGTTATATTATAATTTTTTTAATTATAATATATAATAATTAATATTATATGTATTAAAATATATTATAATTATAACATGTAATAATTAATATTTATGTAATTATTATTTATCTATTATAATTATAATATATGATTAGTTGGTTGATTGCAGTGGCAGGCCATTCGATAACTACCATATATCTCACTTAACGAATTTTCGCCGTTTTGCTATCACATTCCTCGTAAGAATACCAAATATAGAAGATTATAGCTGAAATCCATCCCGTCGAGTTTAGATAATTTAACAGATCTTTCGCCTTTGTCGATGAACAGTCTGATAAATTGTCAAAGAAGTATCTTTCTGAAAATCTATTTATTTTGAACGCCAAAGCCGGGCATTCACAGAGAAAGTGTTATGATTTCTTTGTCCTGCAGGTTTCCACTACTTCTGTATTGAATATGCGCAGTTTCTTTGCGTGGGTTCCTATACACCAATAACCAGAATCAATCAGAAATAATATATAATAATTACTATGTTTGTTTTAAACTTTGTATACATAAAGTTATAATATAATCTAATAACATTTTAATAACTTAAATATATAATTATTTTTATAATTTGCAAAGCTTTTCCCTCCATATAAATATCCAGATAATTAAATTAAATTTTTATTGTCTTTCATATAAAAGAAAGGAAATTAATATTTCCTTGTCGCAAAAGATAAGGATTTGTAATTTTTCGATATATTTAAAGTCCATAAGTGTATAAGGCTCATTAGCAATATCGAATAGAGCTATAAGTTAAATAATAACTAATAATTATTTCATTGAATTTATTCTAGAGCAGTTTATTTAATTTTATTTTTTTAATTATCATGTCAAGATAATGGATTATCTTAACATGATAATTAAAATATGCTTAGTATAATGGTATATGGATTGAGAAAACGGAAGCTGTATTTAAACAGATAGTTGCTTATTATAAATTAATTTTCAAAAATAAATATCCAAAAACCAAGGCGAAGGAGCTAGTAGTCCAGTTCCTCATTTTTAGTTAAAATCAAAATTAATTTTAGTGTTAACTCACAAATAAATATATAAATACATATCAAAAAAAAAAAATAGTGGTGTTAAGTATAGTGGGAAATTTTATTTATGTTTATTTAAAAGTAATAAAAAAATTACTTTTTATTTTTTTTTGCATTATACTACCTAGTAGACTAGTACTTTCAAAAGTTATGTATTATATATTTTGCTGAAAATAACAAACTAATATCAAGTGCAATTGAGTTCTTAAATTAGAAAGAAAAATTTTATTTAAGTTCATTTGAAAGTAATGAGGAAATTACTTATTGTATTTCCTTTTAAGTATAACAGAACATTGGTGGATGGATTAGTGGTCTTCCAGAGCCAAATGTAGTTGGATTATAGTCCTTAGAGGACCCAGCACTACTTACAAAACTAATGCCTTATATTTTTACTAAAAAAACTTAATAAAGTCAAGCGATTTTTAATGGTTTTTGGTATACGCTACATTAGCGTATATAGAATTTTGGGGTATAAGGGTTTTATTCAAGGTAATCAGCTCATTTTTAAAATAGAGAAAATAAATGAATAAGTGAAAATTAGTGAAAGTATTTAAGAGAAAGTCGCTATTTCCGTCATACTGAATTTTACTGAACTTTTAGCAATGTAAACTAAGCAGAAGGTTTAGTGAAATTCGCTTGCTGGTTAATTTAATATGATTTAATAATCCATATCCTATATGCTTATGGAAATACTGATTAAACCAGCAATGTAGCTAAACAGATTTTTTTATTTCTTGATAGAATCCAAGATTTGAGAAATTTTATATGCTTAGAAGAAGTGTCTGTTCGAAGGTTGGACTCTATAATATATTGATGTTGTTGTATTAAATTTAAAAGTTAATACCATTCCCAATACGTTGCTATCTATTGTGAAGTATATTGTCTGTCTATTTGCATTGGGTGTTATTTGTTTAAGACATATTTGTATTCTATTGAGTTTTAATGTCATTTATTATTCCTGTAAATAAATAACTCAAGTTTAAATGAAAAGTATCTTAAATATGCTTAAAATGCATACACTTTTCTTGATCAATTAACTCAGATTATTTATAATCAATTCTTTCATAATTAGTCATTTAAATATTAATTTTTTAATAAAATTTTTTAATTATTGTTTTACATTACAGATAACAACTGAAAAAACTGGTTATAGATATGTTAATTCACTAATAAATAAATCGTAGTTAATATCATTTTCTCTATATTTTTATATTCCTTTAATTCAACAAGAGTTGTATAATTTTATATTAAAGTAATTGTATTATTTCTCTGCGACTAATATTATCCTTTTATAACAAAATACTGTTCTAAATAAAGTGCTGTTACGCGGCACATACACCAAGCAAATTGAGCTAATTTTTTTTATTATTTACTTACGTGACCTTACACGCTTTGCTACAGGCTGTTCTGGTCTTTCATTTTCAATATAATGTGCGTTTTAACTCCAACTCGTCCAATGTGCTGTTCTGGTATTTCTTTAACTTCGCTTTTTGCTAAATGTTCATAACATTGTTCATAAATTAAATTCGCATTTCTAATTATTGCGTTGTATTTAGTACGCATTTCTTTAAATGCTGGTTTTAGTGACTTTAAAGTCATTGACCTATATCATGTTTTGTGCTTAAGTTATATAGCAAATAAATACAAAGTTGACTTATTGGCTCAAATTGTGTTGGTTTTTGTTTATTTTGAAATTCAATTGTTAACCATTTTTTTATTCTAATAGAAAAGGTTAATAAAATTCACTTTTGATTGAGATTTTGATTAAATATTTATTAGTAAAATACAATACCATTCATGGAACGTTTTGTACTACTGAAATCTTTTCGGGTGATGACTTACTGCTATATAACTGGCAATAATTCCGCCATAGCTTAACACTTGTTTTTCACAATATAACAAAACGTTTAAAGTTTGAGATATCTTGACATTTGAGATATCTTGACAGACCTTACAAAAAGGGTTCAATCGCGTCAATTTACATGATCTAGGTGGACAATTTATATCAACCCTAGAAATTGCATGTGCAACTAGCTAAAAAGGATCTTTGGTGTGGTTGATGACATGTGACACCATACTGTTAAAATCAGATATCTCCCATATTCATATCTTCA